AATCCATCACAGAAATTCAAGAAGAGAAAACTTAAGGGGAAGGAGAGAGGAGTGGAAATAAAATATTTAAAAGTTGCAAGTAATCATTTCTACTTAATATGAAGAAGAATTTTATTTTGGAAAAGGTCCCAAAATTAGATGGTCACTTGGGGGGTGGGGAGTACCTTCCTAGACAGGAAAGGTAATAGGCATAGATAAGCCCTTGATGAGGATATTGTAAAGGAGACTCAAATTTAAGGTGCATATAAGATCCCACACTAAATATCTGTGATTGAGAGAAATAGCTGTAAGATGGTAAAAGTCAGAATGCATAAGAGGTTTAGAAAACCACACTGGAGCTGAAGGAGACATTACTTTTGGTTAAGAATAAATAATAAGGGAAAAAGTGACCTGAAGCTCTGGAGTTTTATGTCGGGTACTGAACGCTCTGGAACATTGGAGGAGGAGCAGGATTTTGTGAGAAAGACTTATTTTTTGATATATTGATTCCTTCAGAAGCCATTTGAATATTTAATGTGGTCTGCCCTAGGACCTGGAACAACAAAGATGAGCCAGAACAAAAGTCCCTGACTCATGAAGTTCTTCACTTTAATGCAGGAAACATACACATGAGCAGATAGCAATAATATGTGATAAGGTGGAGATAGGACACAGAACTGAGACATCTAACCAAAGAAATAGAGATGTCAGAAAACTCGTTCTAGAGGAACGTGGAGTTGGCTATAAGGGAAAACTTCCTGAATAAAAGCATAAAAGAAAAGAAAAGAAGAAAACTTCACAATTTGTGCAGTGAACTCTAAAAAGTTGAGGGTTGCCTTATTCATTCAACAGATATTTATGAGATGGCCATCATGTGTCAGCCACTGTTCCAGGCTCTTGAGAAATATCAGTGAGCAAAACAAAGATCCATGCCCTCAGAGTTTACATATTGGGGTAGGAGAGCAGGGAGATAAACCATGAATAAATTATGTGATATTCTAGAAGGCTTAAGTGCTGTGGAACAAGAGAAAATAAAGCCAGGGAGAGGGAGCTCTAGAGGAAGGTCACAGGTTGCAATAAAAAATAGAAGGATAGGCT